AAAGAAATAAATCAGCATTTTTTTTTCCTTTTTGGAGGACGAAGGCTGAATTTTTTAGATTTTCCTGAAAATAATTTTTTATTTCCCCAACATTTACATACAGAAAAATCTATAATGACCATCCAATTACACATCATGTGGATACAACTATTATTAAATTTTGCATATTTGCTGTGTGTGTGTATGCGTGTGTGTGCATGTGTGTGTGTGTGTGTTGCTAAGCTATTTGAGAGTAGCTGTAGGTATCAACACACTCCATCCGTAAGTATTCTAGCTTGCCTCTTCTAAAAGTAAGAGCTTTCTCCCAAATGATCAATTACCTAAGGAAATAAAGGGTAATTCCCTAAATCTTCTACTGTTCAGCCAATACTCAAGTTTTCTGAGTTGTCCTCTACATGTTGCTTACAACTTTTTCTTCCACTGAGAGTCTAATGAAGTTTTACTTGTTGCCTCAGTTCAGCTGAGCCACATCCCTATTCCCCAGCTTTGCTCTTAATCAATCTGAGTACTTGTGTCTTGAATCTCTGATATCAGCAGGAAAAAAAAAAAAGTATGTTTATTGTTGTTTTCAGATTTAATCTTAGCTGGTGTATTTCTGTCCTACCCAGCCACTTTCTTAATTTCTTTGTCTTAGTTCTGATGAAGACTGAGATAAGAGTAGTTAAAAAAAATTGTGTTGTTTTTCATGCATGATGATATTCAACTAAACAGAGTGATGTTGACTGTCAAAGACATGTTGGCTTTCTCCCTGCTGTTGTGATTTTTCTTTCCCTTTTCTAATGCTACCTTGAATTATGATAGTCATGTAGTCCATTGCCCATTGCCCATGGATAGATCAACCAGATTATTTTATCTCCCTTAATGATTAGTCCAAGGAAGGACTGGTGACCCATGTCAGGACAATCAGAGTGGGACTAAACATCAGAACTTTAGATTGAACTGTTGGGAGAACAAATTCTCTCTTTTCTGTTAGACCTGAAAGAGGAGGGTGATATAGATGCCCCTCATCTTACAATACGGTTACATCCTGGTAAACCCTTTTTGAGTAAAAAAATATTGTAAATCAAAAGTGCATTGAATGCACTTTACCTACCAAACATCCTCGCTTAGCTACACAGAACACTGTGGAGTGTTCACCCTCATGATCTCATGGCTGGCTGGAGCTTTGGCTCAGTGAAGCTGCTCGGGACCATACCACCTAGCACTAGCTCAAATTCAAACTTCAAAGTACAGCTCCTATGTAACACATATTGTTTTCGTGCTATCATTTTAAAAAATTCATACATCAAAATCCTTGTAACATAGGGATTGTTTGTAATCTGGAGACATCAAAAGAAACCAGAACCTGGTCACATCATGTGAGTATTGATCTCATCTTCATCTGAAGCCAAGATGCTTACCCACCCCCCTTTAATTATATTAGCCAATACATTACTTTTTTTTTTTTTTGCTTATTTCAGTTTAGGCTATACTTTGTTGTTTGCTGCTTAAAGAGTCCCAAGCAATTCGGTTCTCTTAATTTGCTCATCACTTACCCTCGAATGTCATATACTCTGAAGATAAAATAGTAACTAATAGTAATAATAATGCTAAGTTCATAAAACATTATTGTACAGCTTAAAATACTGTTATAAAACACAACCATTTAACCACTATCCAAAAAAGGAAGCTTGGGGATACCTTGGAAACATCTCACCCACCATTCTCATTCACAACTATTTCACTAATCCCTAAGGCAACTCTTTTCCCGACTTTGATGCAGTTACTTCCTTTCCTTTGACCATCTAAATATGAATCCCTGAACCCCGTGATTTAGTTTCACCTGTTCTTGGATGTTATAAAAATCGAATTAGGTGTCATGTGCTGTTTTGTGGTGAGCTTTTTCTGCTTAACATCATGAGATTTAATTATGTTCTTGTTCGTTGCAGTATAGATTTCCTTCATAGGAATACAACACTATTTATTTATTCTTTCTACTATTTATGAACACTAGGTTCATGAACAGTAAAATTCCAGTTTGGAGTTATTATAATTTACATTGCTTCTGATGTTTGAGGCTTGTCTTCCTGCTGTGTGCCTATGTGTACACAGGGCTGCTTGTCTTCTGCTGATTTCCAAGGTGTTTGTACCAATGTACACTCCCAACAGCGATCTTTGGCAGTTTTTGTTGCTCTGTAACCTGTAATTGGTATTGGCAATCCTTTTAGTGTTAGCCATTCTAGTGGGTTTTTAACTTGCATTTCACTAATTGCTAAAGAGGTTGAGTTTTTTTCATGTTTACCAGCCTTTTAAATATCCTCTTTTGTGAGTTGCTCAAGGCTCTTACCCAATTTTCTCTTGGGTTATTTGTCTTTTGCTTCTTGAATGTTTTGTAACTCTTTGTGTGTATTCTGAATGCAAGTCTCTGGTCAGTTAAAGACACTGCAAACTCTTTACTGTAACTGCCCTTTTCATTCTCAAAATGGTATCTTTTGATGAATATAAATTCTTGGTATGAATTTAATATTTTTTATGTGTAAGCCTTGTTTTATACCTCTCTTGCCCTTGTTCCTCAATGCCATTTCTGTCAAAAGTTGAGTGTGCCTCTCTATCTGGACCTGCTTTTGAGCTTTTTATTCCAGCCCACAGGTTTGTGTTTAGCCTAGGTTGATACAAAACTTTCAACGACACTAGCTTAAAAAGGGGTCTATTTTATGTAGTGCTGGGTATGGAATCCAGAGCCTTGGGCATTTTAGGAAAACACTCTACCACTGAGTTACACCACCAGTCCCAGGAAGTGTTGATCTAGGTTAGAATACACTGTCCCACTTTGTTTTTTCTTCATTTTCAAGAGAATCTCACCGTTCACATTTCTGAATCAATTTTGGAATTAGCTTGTCCAGTTTCCCAAGATCCTGTTGAGGATCCTTATTCATCTATCATTACATGAATTCCTGGATACTTGATGTTTCTTTATGCTATTGCTAATGCTGAATTTTTTTATTTTTATTTTTTGGTGGTGGGGGGAGGTGTTCCAGGGATTGAACTCAGGGACACTCTCGACCACTGAGCCACACCCCCAGCCCTATTTTGTATTTTATTTAGAGACAGGGTCTCACTGAGTTGCTTAGCACCTCGATGTTGCTGAGGCTGGTTTTGAATTCACAGTCCTCCTGCCTCAGCCTCCAGAGCCATGCCCAGCTGAAATTTTTATCTTATGTGAGGCTATCAGAATATATAACAGCAAATTTCAAGAGTCCCTGGACTCCAAGAACTCCTGTCTCTTGAAGTGCAAAGGCAGACACATAAATGATTTGATTTGATGGTGATAGATGTGCAAAGTGGTATGGGTGGGTTACAGTTGAGGTGAGTATAGTTACCATGAGGATATACGCGGTGTGAGGGAAAGGGGAATAGCCCATTCTCTGGGGTCCTCGGGATGCTGGAAAGGGAGAGCATCCTCACTGTTGAAAAATATATGAAAGTGAGCTAAGTGAGTAAGGAATTAAAAAAAGATGGTCAGTGAACCAAGTTCTGCTATAGGCAAAACGTACAAAAAGAAAGAGGGATGCACCCCCCCCCATGCTGTAGATCAACAGAATTAAGAATGATTAGACAACATACAGAGGACCACTAGCTTCTTGCCATAGCCAATGAGTTATAAAAAGCCACCCCACTGAGATACTAGTAGCAGTAGGTGCAGATTGTTCAGATTCTGTAAAATAACTATTATGTGTTATATATTCTACAATGTAGAAACAACTGGAGCAGTTTCATGGGACAATAAGAGAATCAGTGACATCGTAGGCTCTCTTTCACCAACTTTGTCGCTTTCTGCTCTATATCCATATAGTCTTTCCAATCTACTGCTATTAAACAGAAAAAAAAAAGTGTACCAAGAAAGAAATCAAGTTTAGCCAAGTTTAGATCTATAGGACAGGCAAAATGTAAGACTAACTTCCAGCATTAATACTGACCTCAGTTAAATAAAAGGGGTAAATAACTATAAAGTAATAGATATTAAAGGTAAAACCCAGTACTCTTTCTTTAAGACTGGTGAAACTGGCTTGCTGGATATTTAAGATCAAAACTTGGAGAGTAAAAAGTTAAGAAATAAAAGAGCCAAGAAAGAAAATGGCCAATATTTGGCTCTTGCCCTCTGAGTTAACTCAAACCCAGGGGACAAGGGAACTTCTCTAATAGGTTTGTGACTCTGGGCCATGTGACCTCCTGTTCAGAGAAGGTGAATGATACTCAAGAGAACAGAAAGCCACCGGTGTTCATGCTGCAAAGAGGAGGGTCATTGCAGAAGGAGACATCCCTGATGCTTCTAAGGGAAGCCACGTGGTCAAGGAGACCCTAGTCCTTCCTGGCGGATGGCACCAAAGGAGCTAAGAGGCTGCTCACAAGTTCCCAAGTGTGACCCCCTGAGGGAACTATCTAACAATAGATAGGAACAAGGTCAACTTGGCCAAGGCAGGTCAAGTTGATGTTGAACACCTAGCAAGAACAGTTATGACCAAAGTACAGCCAGACCCAGGCATTTAAAAGACAATAGTTCTTTGAATGGAACTTAATACATACACTGTGTCAGCCCCATAGCCCTGGTACCCCCCAAATTCTGAGGTATTTTTCCTTTGTGAGGCTCATATTTACCCCTTGTTGGGTGTAGAGCAGGCTGAACTGTGTTGTCTGCAGGGCAGGCTGAACAGATGTTGGCTGCAAGATAGCCCATGCAATCAAACCCCCCTCTATCTGGTCCTTTATCACCTCTTTGTGTCAAGTCCTGCTCAAGGCTGAGCACTCAACCCCCCTTGGGCCAACAAGGCAGCTTGCAGACCCAGAGGCCCCATTAGATTTGGGCTATAAAAACTCCCTCCTGCCAGGCCCCATTCTCTCTTGCTCTCTCTCTCTCTCTCTCTCTCTCTCTCTCTTGCTCTCTCTCTCGCTCTTGCTCTTTATCTTTCTTGCGTGCGCTCTCTGTCTCTCTCTTGCTCTTACTCTCTCCCTGTTCATCTCTTCTCTTCTTTCTCTCTCTCTCTTTCCTTCTTTCTTTTCTCTTTGTTGCACTGCTGCAATAAAGATCTCTTGGTTGCTCCGAGTGTTGTGGTCACTTTCCTTTTATTGGTGCCGAAACCCGGGAGAGGGTTAAAACCCACTTTTGGGTCCCTCTTCCTTCGGAAGTGCCACTCACCGGATGGCCTGAACCCAGGCCTGAACCCATTTTCTTGATCACGAGAACTCCATCCACCACCAAGCTTCGATTGGTGAGTTTCCCCTTCCTGGAGTCCTAAACCCAATGGTGGTGTCAGGAGGATTTGACCGTTGATTGACTGGCAAACCTCTTTGCCTACCTGCAGGGAGGAAAACACCCCAACACAGCCTTCAAGGCCGCGGTGGCCCTCAGGGAATCCTTCCTTGGGCAGAATAGACTCCTGGGTTCAAAATTATTCCCTTCCCTTCCCAGCTGGTAGTTACCAGCATAGGCTTTGTAGGTATCCCTCAAAGGACTGTGTAACCTCCAGGAACACATAACAGAGAACTGAACATCACACCCCACCCAGACCTTCAAGGCCTCGGTGGCTCTCTTAAAATCCTAGTCCTCACACCTTCAAGACTTGGCCACCAGAGAGACGCTTACCCTCCCCTTTCTCACTCTCTTCCCCTGTCTCTCTCTTTCCCCTCTTTCTGGCCCTGCAAGTCTCCGGCCTCTTCAGGAGGGGAACCGAAAAGAAAAGCCTTGGCAAAGGTCTCCCACTGCTCCAGCTCCGCGTCCAGGAGGAGATCTTCGACTGTCAGGATTCGGGTGACGACCAATCTCTGCAGCTTGAACCTGCCACTAAGGTACTCCTGATTTTTGGCTCTAGCAGGGATGCCCCTTTTGCCAATAAATCAGTTTCCTCCTTCTCTCTTATACTACGGTTGTGTCTCCTTCCTTCTCCTTTATACCAAGTTTGCGTCCCCTTCCCTCCTCCTTATACTACTTTGCGACATGGGTACTGTGTCCTCTCTGCCAGTCGACTCTCCCCTACAATGCCTCTTGGATAACCTCAAAACCCTCTCCTTGACACCAGACATCAAACCCCCAAAATTGATCAAATATAGCACCCAGGCCTGGCCCACTTATCCCTTAGACAACCAAAGTAGATGGCCCCCCTTTTGGGTCCCTGGATCCCTCCATTCTAAGGGATCTCTACAATTACTGTGAGCATTTGAAAAAATGGGTAAAAAGCTGCTACATCAAAGCTTTCTTCTTGCTTGTGCTCTCTGCACCTCTTGCAGACCTCTGCAAATTTTTCTAGGTGCAAACCAACACCCACAACCACTGATCCCCAATCTCCTCCTCCTCCAGACTCATCCACTACTTTTGACCCTACTGATGAATTTCCACCCTATCGCCAGGCTCAAATAGGTCCTCACCCTCAACCTTCTGCCCCAGCCCCTCCACTGTCTCCCCCACCTGAACAACCTGACTTCTCCTCTCCACTCACTAGATCAAAAACTAAACAACCGCCTTTCCTCACACCATTGCCTCTTTCCTGAGGTAGCAGGTACTGAAGGAATCCCTTCACCCACTCACTCCTCTCCTCTTCTGTCAGAGCCCACACCAGGTGCCACCAGGTCCTCTTACCAGCTAACCCAAAGCTCAAACAAGCTGAGGAGAGCCCTTGGACCCCTATCAGAGATCTGGTGAAAAGGCCTTTAAAGTTGCTTTGTCATCACTGAAAACAGGTTACTAAGAATTGTCCCTTACAGGCTTTTGGGGATATTCACTCCCATCCTCCCCTCTGCTCTACCTGTTCTACTGCTCAAGTTTTCCTTGCTGGGGAAAATTCTATTCTTTTACATCACTCCTTCCTCATTCTCAAATCCACCAAACTGCTCTCAGCCCCACCTTCCCGTCTTCCCCTCCCTACACAGTCCCATAGAAAAGTCTTAACTGACCTTCTCCAGAAATCTTCACCATGGCTGATTTTAGGACTTTCAGCAAAAGAATCTCTACAAAAAGTTCAATGTAGATAAACTTCCTATTTTCCTGTTGCCCTGTTTTACTTGGCCACTGGCTGAAAAAAAAAATCAGCACTCCAGGCACTGGACACCCCATTACTAGTTTTTCACAAAATATGTAAAACAAGGCCTCTGGCTTTGAGCTGGTGCTTCACAGAGAAGGCTACATGTCTAAGATAAGGAAGTTACCAACTGGGCTCCAAGATAACAGCTGGCAGGAGGTGGGGAGGGTGAGGGGAAGAGGAGAGAAAGGGAAGAAAAAGCTCTCCCCCTCCCAAGTGTCCTTGAAGGGTTAACTTTCCCAGAACAGAGGGAAAAAATAACAAACTGCTTTTTGTGAACTTCTGCAGACTGTGAACTTCTGAGCCCCTTCCCTTACATGTTGGGTACAAAATTCTGAAACAACCTACACTTGGGGTTCAGGAGATTAATTGATTACAACAGAAGCAATGCCCTCTGAATCCGGTTGCAACCAAATAAAATTGTTTCCCTATCTTCAGTGCTATCTTAGGTGCCTTGCCTTGTCTGTCCCTACAACAGTATAATTCTATATACTTAAACATTGTTCATGTTGTCATGAAATGGTCAACAGATATGATTAATTGTGTGCTGCAAATAACAAAATATCTCTTATTAAAATGGAATAACTTGCCTAAATTCAGAAATTTACAAGGATTATTTAAAGATGTAAAAAAAGAGTTAACAGATAGGAAAGAGAAATTAGAAGGTTCTAAGTATGGATTTAATAGAAGGAAAATGTGTTTCTGGATAAGAGAGTCTATTAAGTAAATAAGAGGGTTTAAGCAAGTGATGAAGAAGGTCTGTGTACGCTGGCTATCTAGGTTTAAGTAAGTACTAAAGAAGGACTGTGTATACAACTATGGTTAAACAAAAACTGTTATTTTGCAATATTGTAATATGTTATTTCTTTAAAAGCTAAACTTGATTAATATAAAAACATCAATAGTAATTGTGGTACTATTACTCTTCTTTGTATATTAAAGGTGTTCATATTTTCCAGGTATATAAGTCATTAAGATAGAAGCTTTAAAAAATTATATCAAGCTAGTGTTCTCCAAAAGGTTGCATGGTTATTTTAGGCTTATAAAAATAGCATATCGGAGATTTACTTATATCATTTAATGTTCTATAACTGGATTTGTTATCAAAAGATTAATATAAAGTTCTATACACTGGGTACAATTTAAATGTAATATACTGTATTACCTAGTATTCATGTGACATCAAGCAACAACATATGTAAACTTTATAAAATAATATAAAAAAAAAGATCAGCTTCAATACTAGAACACTTTACCTAAGATTTATAAAGAGCCCTGGCTTACCTGAGATAAGGCTATGCCTCCCATTTTACTACATGTCAGAATGACTCCAAAGTAGGCCAGACTTCAGCTAAAGCCCAATACTCTTAATTTAGGGTGAAACTGACTTTGCTGGATGTTTATGATCAAGATTTAAAGTTAAATTAAAATGGTCAAAAAAACCAATATTTGGCTCTGGCCCTCTGAGTCAGTCTGAATCCAGGGAACAGAGAATTTCTCTAAAGAGCTTTTCAACTCTGGGCCACATAACCTCCTGATCAGGGAGATTAATGAGACCACTGGAGAATGAAAAGCCAATCAGTGCACTTGCTGTGAATAGGAGGGTCATTGGAGATAGGAGACATCTCTGATGCTTCCAAAGGGAAGCCACATGGTCAAGCAAGACCTGGACCCATTCTAGCGCAAATGGCACTAGCAGAACTAAGAAGCTGCTCTCAAGTTCCCCCCAGGTGACCCCTATGGGAACTCAGCTGACCCTTAACAATAGATAGAAACAAAGTCAATTTTGACCAACTAGATCTTAAACACCCACCAAAACCAGTTAAGCCAAAACACAGTCATTCCTGGGACTAATGAAGGATAAGAACAGCTAGAAAAGAGGAGACAGAAACTAGGCCAATAGGCTCCATGGGGAATGTTCAGTCAAGTATGGCCTTGGCTCCTCCCCCTTGCAGGACCCCTATTAGTCCTCTCTATGTTTCTCCTAATAAGACCCTGTCTATTAAATTGCCTACAGAAGTTCCTGCAAGATCAGATACACAAATTCACCAACAAGTCAGTCAATCAACTACTTCTTTAAGACTACCAGCCCTGGTGCCCAAGATGGAGATCTACGACTCATGACCAACTCCTCTGGCTCCAGAGACACTGTGCCCATCTAAAACCCTCTCTAACCCCTTTTTCCAATTTTCACAACCCCTCTTTCACTTCCTAGGAATGAGAACTACTCTCCAGCACGTCCACTCTGCTTATTCTGTCTGCTCTACAGTATCCCCACAAGGAAGCATCAAACCTAAACTCCCCCTGGTTCCACCATGTCTCCCACCTTAAAAAGGCACTTGTTCCAAATGTCCAGTCCTGGACTTCCACCACGCCCACCAAACTCAAAATTTCTCACCAACCCTCTTTTTCTTTTACTAATCATTATTCTCTCTCAAGTTTTTATCTCAAACCACAGATGCCGCTTTTACATCCAAGTGACATGGCACCAGGATGACACCACCCACTCTCAGTTTATGGGTCAAGGCTATTGCCCTTCCACTGGCTGCAATCAGGCTGTCACCCTTAACATTACTGGATTCAACCAAGCCACCTCCAATACTTCCTAGAGTCCCTGCTACAGGACCAGTGGCTGATACCAAGAATCTCCTCCATCCAGGGCTGGTTTGATGCCATCGAGGACTTGTGGCTTCAAGGAACTTTTATGGACTTTGCCCCTACCACAGTAGTTGTCTGTAGCCACGAAGTGTTATTTCTGGCTGCCCTGGTGTTCTCAGACCTGTCCCTCGAACATTCCTCCACTTCTCCTTCTAGGTCTAACTCCCCCCACCATTAAGCAGGAAGTAGCCGTTTATGCATTCCCCCATGTCACTTAGAAAAACAAAAAGGGAGGAATGTTGGGTGCAGAGCAAGCTGAACTGTGTTGTCTGCAGGGCAGGCTGAACAGATGTTGGCTGCAAGATAGCCCA